GGCTGATCTAGGTGTGGTATACTGCTTGCATTTTTGGAATTTCACATCTTGTGAGAAAATAGACATTAAATAACTGCAGTCATAGGAATGGGAAGCAATTTTAAAGTGTGCTAAGTTCCAGATGGGGGAAGAATAGAGAACAAGGAGACAAATAATAGAGACATCATTTAGATGGGATGGTAGGAGGAGGCTTCTCTCAGGAGGTGTCTGAGGATGGAAGGGCAGAGCCAGCAGAAGTCAGTGAGAACAAGGGATCCAGGCAGAAGGACCAGCATGGCAGAGGCCATATTAGGGAGTGTGAACGCTTAGACAGTTTAAAGAGCATTATAAAATGTGGATTTAGTGGATAATTATCATTTATTTCAGGGTGCTCATACAGCCACAATATGGTATAAATAATGCATCATCCTTTGCAGGTAATCTGTTTAAATGATTACAGATTGAGTTTTTATTGGAATGTTGAGAAAGGAAGTGTACTTGTAACGGGAAAGTCGAGGAAACAGCTTGGAAAGGAGAAAAACCAGAAAGAAGGAAGGAAGGGAAAACAGTAGTTAGCCAAGATTTGCTGTGGTATAGTCATTGTGTTTAGAGAAAAGCACATCCTTTTTCCATCCCATCTGTGTCGTGATCCTAAATGGGGGGAGTTCGTTCTGTTAGACAGAAATTGAGATTGATTGAGGTTTACTAACCGACATAATTAATAAATGATAGGGCCAGCTCTAATTCTGTCCAGTGGGTGACAGTGTCCTTTAACTATGCCACTGTCACAAGGCCACTATTTTAAGATCCCTGAGGCTGTCAATGGCAGGGAGGACAAGGACCTATATGTTCATAACACAAAGACTAAAGACAGAAAGTGCACTTCAGGGTCCAAAACTTTATTTGAAGTGCTGTCTATGGAGAGAGTGGAATTTAAGAACTCCATCAGGAAGGAGACACTATCAAGCACACAGACCGAGGGGCAATAGTCAGTAGACAGTCTTACCCAAATATGAGTCTAGAAGATTCGCTGGAGAGTCAGGGAGCTTGGAGGACTTCAAGGAGTGAGGAGCTATGGTGGCTGTGATCTCTTGGCTTCCAGGGACTCGCCAGAACCTATTCATGCTACTGTTACATGCTGAACCTATTCATGCTACTGTTACATGCTGAACCTATTCATGCTACTGTTACATGCTGAACCTAGTCATGCTACTGTTACATACTGAACCTAGTCATGCTACTGTTACATGCTACTATTTCTAGATGACAGAAAGGTATTTCTTGTTCTGGAGGCTAGCATGTCCTTGGTCAAGGTCCTGAGGAATCTGGTGTTTTATGAAGTTCAAGCTTCTGGATCATAGATGACCTTTTCTCCTTCTGATTTCACATGACAGAAAGAAGATAAGTTCTGTAAGATCTTAATCTCCAGGGCTTTAATCTCACTCATGGATGAATCAACCCCACCATAACCAAAACTCTCCTGATGCTCTAACATTAGGAACTAGGAATTTCTCTCTCTCTCTCTCTCTCTCTCTCTCTCTCTCTCTCTCTCTCTCTCTCTTTTTAAAAAGTGTGTGTGTGTGTGTGTGTGTGTGTGTGTGTGTGTGCGCACACACACATCCCTGTGCATGAGTATAGTGCCATGGTGTATATGTGAAGAGCAGACGGCAATCTTGGATGCTGGCTTTTGTCTTCCTTTTGTTGAGGTAGGATGTGCCTTCCAGCCTATCTGGCCTTCAAGACTCCTGAGAACTCTCCAGGCCTCACCTCCCATCGCAGCACAGCACTGCTAACATTGTAGACTTGTATACAGTTGAGACCAGCTTGTGAGTTGCAGGGAGTTGAACCTAGGTTTTCATGCTGGGATGGTAGGTGCTTTCCCCATGGAGCCCTCTCCTCAGCCCTTGGAGCTAGGAATTCAACACGGCAACTGATGAGAGGTGACGCCATCAGGTCAACCACAGAGACCTGAAAATTAGAACTTTCAAAATATTGGGCAGACACTGCTGCAGCTGATGCCACTCTTCTTGGGTAACCCCTGACCGGGAATCTAGGACAGCAGCAACCACGGCCTGATCACCACTGTGCGGGCCATTGGCTCTTTAAGTCTCTCCAGAACTCTCTGAGGTTCGCAAATTGGAATTGATGCCTGACACTCTTCTGGCTTATGTGCATCTCAGTGTAAAAATTAGAGGACTTCTAAGGACCAGGACATTGTCTTGGCCCATGGGGGTAACTAGGTCTTATACCTCACCTAGCATGTGCCACACATGAGTCTGGAGGAACTGTATCCGTGACTGCATTTAATCCTCAAGAGACTGAGTGGGTACTGCCGTCAACATCGGCTATAGAAGGCTCACAGTGTATAAATACTGTCAAGTTCCACAGTATTCTATAGCCAGAGTCTGGACCCATGTAGTCCATTATAGAGTTGAAGTGCACAGCCTTAGGCTCTTCTTTAGGCACCTACGTTGGAGGGGCTGTAGACGTCACGGAAAGACAAAGGAGCAGGACTTGTCTATAGCTGTCCTGGTCTGCCACACCGCTCCCTAGCTCTGCTGAGCCCACTTCCTTCCAGGCCTTCATGGTACCTTTTCTGTTGCTCACACCAGGCTCGCTGGCCTGAAAGTTTCTGGGGATTTCTCTGTCTGCCTCGGATCTCTCTGTGGGAGCCCTGAGAAGACAGATAGGGGTGCCATTGTTTCTGACTTTTATGTGGTTCTGAGCATTTGAATCCAGAGCCTGTGATGTTCCTCTTCAAACTCACTTGAATTCTGTGGGCCCCTGTCTACTTGCTCTTCGAGTCCCACCAGCCCTACACCCTCGGGCAGGACTGCTTTGACAACTCATGATCCCGAGTTCCTCTTCCATGGGATACTGAAGTTTGGCTCTCCTGCCGTCATTGCATCCCATCAAATGGGGTCCAGTGCGAGGAACACACATTTGAGGGATATTAGCTGTTTTTATACACAGTGGGTGTAAATATAAACTTGACCATTGGCTTTGCATATGTAAGCCATGACTGAGACATTAAAGTGAATTATTTCTGAAAACTAATTTATTAAAGAACTATTTATTCACTTTTATTTATTATGTCTTTATTTCACAGCTCTGATAACGAGTTCTTTACAATAATGGATTCTGCACAGACTTTGTTGCTTGCTCCTTCCCACAGACGTCAACTCCAGGGGATCCCCAAGTCCCGCCCCAGGCAAGTGTACAATGATAAAAGTCAAGTGAATGGATGTACTCACTGGGCGTCTCCACCCTGGCAATCCGAGTCTCAGCTACCCAGGAGAAAGTAGAGCATGGAGCTTCTTCAGAGACACGGCCACAGTCTGCAAAGGCATACATCTGCAAGTTCTGTCGGGAGGACTTGGTGGACACCGGCATACCATTGCTAGGTCCTGGAGAGGAAACTTGGCAGTAGTTTGGAGTCGACAGTCAGCTTACCAGGTCTAATGACAAAGCCAGTTGTACTGTTCCATCTCTGAGTCCTCATGTGACCTTCCCTGGTGCTGCACACCAAGTGTCTTGCCACCATCCAGGGAACACAGCTCCTCATGGGGAGCCGGCACAGTGCAGGGAAAATAGCTAGCCGCAGAAGATGGTCAGAGGCATTTTCTTGGGGCCTTGAGATTTTCCTGTACAGTTGAAAACAAAACTGTTTGCCCACACCAAGGAAGGAGGGAGTAGACACAGCTTATCCCGAGTCTACCCGTGCTCACACCGCAGGCCACCCTTCTTAGTCTGAAGGTCCTACACTATTCAGGTTGGTCTCCCATCCTCTTTAGCTATGGTCTTTTATCCTTCCTTATCAGTGACCAGCACAAAGGAAGACTGACCCCTAGGGAAGGTGGTGCGTGGATCAAGTGCCATGTACTCAGAACTCCACTTGTAAGAATTATAATGAGAAACATAGGAATTTTCCACACTCCTTTAGATTCCACAAAGCTGTTATGTGCAAATTGTTTCTTTTTCTTTCTTCGAGGAATTATGGGACTCAGGCAACAGAATTTGTGCTTTATTGATGATGCAACTGAGGTTGGTGGGTGTGATGTGCCCAGTGTCTTACAGCTAGAAGCGTTTCTGGGGTTTTGACCACCTATGAAGTTCGGCTCTCCCGCCTTCATTGCATGCCATCAAATGGGATCCAGTGCAAGGAACACACATTTGAGGGATATTAGCTGTTTTTATACACAGTGGGTGTAAATATAAACTTGGCCATTGGCTTTGCATATGTAAGCCATAACTGAGACATTAAAGTGAATTATTTCTGAAAACTAATTTATTAAAGAACGATTTATTCGTGGTACTGCGTATTTAGAAAGAATTTATTTGTGAGATTATTTAGCAAGAGAAAAAAGTCTGTGTATTCCTGTTGGCATTATGTTTAATAAAGAAAAATATTGAAGATTCACGTTTTAGCCATTTTTATCCCCCAAACTCCAAGAATGTCTGCTTTTATAAGTAGAAAGAACATAAAAGACAAAAAGTGATGGAGAAGGAAAAAAATTGGGGGAAGAAAATTGTTCAAGCATCAACCTTTTGAGACATTATTGAAGGCAGAACTTTCTGTGATAATTCTGAAAAAATACTTTGATCTTTCTTGCTGGCTGAACAGCCATAACACTAGAGTGGAATTTAAGTGAGGTTGGCATCGTTTGGGGGTACAGATTGGGACTAGAAGGCCATAGACTGGGCTTGCATCTCATGCCACTGGCCTCAGTGAGCAAGCAAATGTGCCAGCGTTACTTGCCTGGGCCTCTGTTTTCTCCCTCTGTAAACCAGAAGCAACTTGACAAGTGTCCAGATACACAAGGCAACAGAAATATAGCTACCACAGTCCTTCAGGGCAAGACAAGAGATTTCAAACGATTCCCTACACGTCTTATTTTTTCTCCCAAACCCTTGTAAGGGGAGCGTACAATATGAAGAATCCTGCTAGGTGAGGAGAATGGGCTTGCCCAGATTTACAAACTTCAGAGCCAGGACTTGACCTCAGCTCTGAGGCCTCTTACCCGATATATCATCCACCGTGGATGTTTGCTCCATCTTGGCTTCTCCCACTCAGCTTCAAGGGCAGATACGTAAGGTAACCGAGCCTGCGGAAAAAAGACATTTATGTGCAAGAGGCCTTTGTGCATGGATGCTTGGAAAAGTCAAGCTAACATCTAATTTTAGTATGCAGCCAGTGCTGTGTCCCTGGTAATCGTATTCAGTCAGGCTGACTAGAGGAGAGCGAGGAATAAAATAAACACTTCACTTAACCTTTACGGTCCACACACGCTGATTGTCCCCCCAGATTTAGAATACTGCCCTGCCTGCAACTGCCAGTCACGTTCTGTGATCTCCACAGACTCCTTTGTCCTCTACTCTTCCTCCTTTCCTGTCATTCTACCTCGAAGGACTCTCTTGCCACTGCTTCCTAGCACATCTCATTGGTCCAATAAATCTCGTTCAATCTTGAGTTTCCCCTGTCTTCTCGCTACTTGATCCCACTGGGGTAAGATACAGCGTAGAGGAGATCTGCTGGACATTCTGTGTCGGGCAAGCTCCAGGACAAGGAGGGGCATGGGACCTCATAAACCACACACACATGACCTTGTCATCATCGTCAAAATGTAGATACCTATCAAAGGAATAGAAAGAGAATGGAAAATGAATCAATAAATAATAATAATCAATAAATTAAAGGAAGGGTTGGAGAGCTAAATCCGTCGTTAAGAGTATATCCCGTTCTTGCAGAAGTCCTGAGTTTGGTTTCCAGCACCCACTTAATGTCTCACAGTTGTCTGTAACTCCAGCTCCAGGGCATATGACCTCCTCTTCTGGACTCTTCTTGCTCTCACACTTGCACACGCCCAAACACAACTGAAACTAAAACTAAATCTTAAAAAGAAGTACATCGAAAGATCCTTTTTTATCTTGACATTGTCATCCTGCCTTGGCACTAAGCAGCAAGCCACTGCCAGCAACAAACATTACACAGGGAAATCTAGGGAATGGAACTCCTTAGGACATTATTATGTTCAATGTGGCCATGACAAATGCAGTGATTGATAGGTCAAAGGAGCTGGTCCTGGACAAAGTACTGGAGTTTAAGAACAGGAATTGTGTTGATGCAGCTCTTCCGCTGGTTCCCTTGGAGTTACCAGGGGCTGATTTTGGAATGATGCGAGTCAGGGTTTGGTCAAAATTTGAGCAAGATTAAAAAAAAAAAAAGCCTTTGTTAGCACGGGCAGTAAATAGGGCTATAAAGCTCCTAGTACAGACAGTGCTCTGCTGTCCAGTGCAGTCACCACTGCTGCATGTGGCTTTGGATGTGAAGATGGGTGAAGAGTATACGCCCAGTTTTGTTATAGGTGTGCAGGACAGATGTTAGAGACTGAGCATGATGGGAGGGAGATGAGTCCGAAGGTTCTTATAAATGTTTTTAATATGTTGATCCTGTTGGGGTAAGATTGATGGTACATACAATCAAATAAAATATCTCACTAGAATTAACTATGTCTCCCACTTACCATTTTAATTCCTTTCTTTAAAAAGTGGTTCATCTTTGACAGCTGGGACTGTTCCTCTGAGAAAGCCTGTTTCAAAAAACTGAAAAGAAACCGTGGTTCATCTTCGTTGCTCTCATCGTCTTCATAGACAGCAGCACCAGACTCTTAGAGCTGTCGATAGAGCGAAGAAAAACTTCCTACAGTGAGGGTCAACTGATCAGCCAGGGTGGGCAACACCAAGAGAGAATCTCTCTCTCTCTCTCTCTCTCTCTCTCTCTCTCTCTCTCTCTCTCACACACACACACACACACACACACACACACACACTCACATTCACACGCAGAGAGAGAGAGAGAGAGAGAGAGAGAGAGCACCCTTAAGATCAGGGCTGATAAAGTCTATATACTGCAGGTGAACTGTGATGGACTGTAGCCTAACCCTGAGAATGGGGGCAATGGTCAGCAATCTACAGTAACAAAGGCAACCACTTTGTGAAGGGGCCCTGCATGGGGAATCTAGGCCAGGGTAAAGACGTTTCCTTGGTTGCTACCACATCTGCCCATGAATGCTCTGTTTTGGAGGGAAGGGGAACGTTTGTCCTACTGACTGCAATGGATGCTGCGCTGGTTGGTCCTGCGCTGGCAATGCTCCGGGAGCCGCTCTTACGCTGACTGAAGCTCCGCTCAGAGGAACATCTCCAGGTCTTCTTGACTACATCTCAGTTCAGAACCGCCTCTGCCCCCTTTTCGGCGGCCACAGTATCTGAGCTGTCCCTCCTTCGACCGAGTCCATCTTAGCGGGGGACACAGACTGTCCTATCCACACTCATAATATCACATCGAAAAATTCCAGTTTTCAAAACCTACTGCGTGTACAGGTGTGCTAGGTGCATGTAAGTGAGATCCTCACTTAGAAAAGATATGGCAAACCCAGATTTCCAAAAGGAAATCGGTTCATTAAATCATCACCTTGATTTCTCCTATGGGTGTGGGGGACTTAGTGAAAAATCTCAACCCTCCCCCCTCTGTCCTCAGTCTACTATTCAGTCGACGGTTGTGAGTCAGGTGGGTTCTCTAAGGGTTTTTGTTACGAATATGACAGTATTTGCTGTTAGTCAGTCAAGAAATTACATGCCAGAAGCTCGTTGTTTTTGCCTTTTGTCCTCCCTCGTTCCTGAAACGCAATAACAGTTGTGGCTGTTTTTAAACCTGGAAGACAATGGATGAATAGCGAGTCTTTCGCACTCTAACACAAACACAGCCATAAACAAGAGAAACCGCTACAGGATGAATTGCAGAAGTCAATATTTTCCAGGGCCTGTTTCCTGAGTCAGGGTCTCACGCATCCTTGAACTTGCTATGTAGACAAGGATGACTCTGGATTCCTGATCCACCTGCCTCCACCCTGAGTGCTGAAGATACAGGCATGAGCTACTACACAGTCTACCCACTGTGCCACCTCCCCACTCCAAAAGCCGGATTTTAGTTCTTGGTTCTTTAGTTCTGCAAAAGGACATTCCACTCTTCTGGGGTCTCTTGAGCTCAGTGGCTATCAACCTTCCTAATTCTGTGAACTTTAAGACAGTTCCTCATGCTGTGTTGACCCCCAATGGTAAAATTATTTTGTTGCTACTTCATCACTTTGATTTTGCTACTGTGACGAATCATAAATATCCAATATGAAGGATATCTGACGTGACTCATAGAACCACTACCTTAGCGATATTGTTGCCACTAAGTCTCTGCTTTTCCTTCTTTTTGTAAAATGGGGGAAGGCCAAGGTATAAACACATCCTAGTCTCCAGATACTTGATGTAAGCACACAGGTTGTGAGCTCCCTGCCCCACACTGAGAAGCTGCCTTTGCGCAGTGTTGAAGGAGACACGGGCAGCATATTCAAACATCAGACAACTTTGCCAGCGTCTGTAAGCAGCAGACATATAGTAGGGATGCAGACCATAGCTGCTAAATAGCTAAGCTGCTTCTCAAACTTGATACTGGAAAGATATTTCTTTGAGAGCACTGCAAGCTTCTTCCATTTCCTTCCACAGTGGTGGAAAGGCTGCCCTAATCTTGAGACTCGGCCAACAGCATGTCTGAGCAGGACAAGGGACAGTGAAGACGGCCTTGGGCTGCTCCATCTAAGTCAGCAGCCCAAGGGATAATTGTTCAAATGTCTCTAGCTCGCAGTGGGTGCCACATTTCCTCTGAGCCACATTTTGCAGGATGTTGGCCACAGTCATGACCCAGGTTAAACATAGACTGTGGCCTCATAGCTCGCTCTTGCTCAATGGGTTCATTATACACTCATCAAAAAATTGACCGAACTCCTACAGGGTGACAAGTAGTGTTCTAGAAACTGGGAAGATAGGTGTGAACAAGGCAGGCAGCACCGGCGTCTCTATGAAGTGTCCACTTGGGAAGGAAACCAGTGTTCAAAAATAACCCTGCAGATGGGCTCTGGGCTAAGAATCGCACAGATAAATCATGTTGCCTCGAAACCTTAGAACAGCCACGTGGCGAGGGAGGTCCCTAGCCCTCGATGCGATAAGTAAATGGGCACCAAGAGGCCAGTGGGTCCACAAGGTACTTTGAGTGCAGGAACAGGGGCCAGGCCGGTCTTTTCCAGCTCCTTCATTATGCTTCATGGAATTCTGTTGGCGCCCAGAATGTAAAATAAAAAAAACCATTCAGTTTCCATTGTAAAGCACCGCCGCCCCCCCCACCCCCCAGGGTTACATGAGGGTTAAGCCAGTCCCGTGGAAGAAAAACATTTACCATGGTAGCTTCCACTTGGGCGTCATTTGAAGGTGCACTCCAGCTGCTGTCAAGGAGTTCCCAGAAAACAAATGGCTGTAACCAGAGTAAAAAAGAACAACAAGATAAAGGTTCTAGAAGCTTCTGGAAGACGGTGACTAACTTCCTTTTGCAAAAGGCAAGAGGGATTCTGGATGGGATTTGAACACAGGAGTGTGCTGTGGAGGTGAAGACATCAGGAGGAGAGGAAATAGCTTGTGCCTTGCCTGAAAGAGCAGAGCTCGTGTGGGGCTTGGGGACCATAATTGCTGCTTCTGGTTAGAATATGAGTGCCCTAGAGGAGGCTGGGGGGAGGTGGGGCGGGGGGCGTAGATGGCTAAGCTCACAGAATAATCCCCTTTTCTATGGCTGTCAGGGGCTCTGGGAGGTGATGAGGCAGAGAGAAGCTCTGAGGGGCACAGGCCCAGACGCGGTGGGCCGCTTGGACCTCTGTCATCTGAGAGGTGAAACCCCAACGCGTGCCTCTTCAGGCTCCAGCCTTTCCTTCCCGTGGACTGTTTGCCTGTCTGGAATGAGATAATTTGTCAGACACCAGCTGCTGAGCATTCTTTCCTCACGGGCACATTTATTATTATGTTACAATGCGCAAGGAGAATCTTAACCGTCACAGGAGTGAAAACGATGAAAATGTGTGTGTGTGTTGTTTTGTGTGTGCAAAATTTCTGCAGTCCTCCTTGTGCTGCATACAGCATCCCTGGTCATGCCCTGCATTGGAAAAACAGGCTGAGGGGAGGCCTTGTCATAATTAACAAAACAACCAGCAAGAGGATCCCAGGGTCTCCAGGCGGGGAAGGGAGAGACTGTATGGAGCCTTTGTGATCAGCCCAGGAGTTCAGCAGCCAGGGATGCTGGGCTGTGTCTCTGCAAAGTGCACGGGATGGACTGGCTGGCTGTGAGAACTGCACCATGTCTAATTATGTACCAGGAGGCAAGAAAAGGTGTAGGTCTGTCTTTCCAGTTCAGAGGGAGGGAAAAAAAAAATATGTGGTGTCTCGCGTCTAAGAAACGAACAGGCTGACCTTTTCAGAGCGTCTGAAAGAAAAAACCAGATGTATTTCTCAAGAGTCAGTGTGACTGAAGGCTCGCATTGTGCTCTCGCATAAAGGGAGAGCTAACCAGAAACCAGCAGCTGATGATCTGAAGCCAGGCTGTGCTATTGTCCGGCACACAAATGTTCTACAAGGACCCAGACCACCATGCAGTTCTCTGTGCATAGACTATGGGGTTTGGGGGAGAAGGCGGGGGCGGGCAAAGGCTTTTCTTTTCCTCCTTTTCTTTCTTCCCTTCCTGAAACCCTTTTCCTTCCAATCCCTCTGCAGTTGCTCACATTCAACTGCTAACAATTATTCCCCTTGACCCTCCTGGCTCTCCAGACAGGGTTGTGGGCCTCTGAAGGTTTCCCCTCTTTGTACCTGACAATCCCATATTATAGGCAGGCTCTCAGGGAGGAGGTGAGGTCTCAGCTCCCTAGGGGACCTACGTCGGGGGTGGGGGTGGGGGTGGGGGTGACTGTGATTTATCCTCCATAGAGCAAAGTCAAAGCTGGGCAACCATTCGCTGGGAGGCAGGCAAGGAGAATCCTCTCCTGCTCATCAAGGGCAGCTCTTCTATTGTCCTTGGGGAGGTCCGGGGAGAAGGCTTGCCATGTGGAGGGGGAAGGGAGGAGGAAGGGAGGAGGAAGGGAAAGATGAAAAGGAGAAGACCGCTTGCATTGCAAGATCCTTCCCCCTCATTCCTGCTCACTTGGTTTAGGTTTTCTCCAGGAGCCTTTGCCTTCGTAGAGCTGCTGCGAGCTTCTTACCTTCCCGACAATCTGCGGTGACTGGAGAGGGACACTGGACAGGCCTG